CTTGCTTTACATTGCAAGAAACACTGCATTATATCTACAAGTTCAGCTAAAGCAGGGGCCTTTCAAGTGACAACATATGTTGGCATTCTTTAGTCAGTGGGGTAGTGAAAATTGCAGCATTGCCTTAAGCTCTAGAACCTGTTCAAAGGTATCTCTAGATACTGAAGTAAGAATAATAAACTGAAAAATGTATCAAATGAAATTAAGGCAAGTAAAACAATCAATATACTCGGTACTCCGTGCTTTTACAAAAAACTAAATCCTTTACAGCTATTCAAGACACTTTCATAAGTCTCGCCATGTATTGCATTGCAGGTAATGTCGAAATGTCTAGATAGCAAGCTTCTTACCATCAAGAGCTTGCATCCTTTAGAGCTCTTGCTGTTTAGATATATAAATAAAAAATGCATTATAAGGTAGTTCTACACTTGGCTTCAATATAAGTGACAATGTTTGTGTGTTCGTTCTCGCTAAACATCTTTGTGATGGTGTGCCAAGCATTTAACTTTCCTAGTCAGATAAGCTAACAATGATGCTAAGTGCTATATTGAACAATAAGGACCAAAGAAATGGTAGAATTATTGTAAGATTTTTGAGTAAACAAAGCAGCATAATGAGCCAAATTTATACATTTGTTAGAATTAATGCACACGTTATGATGTTCAGGTGACTATATTATTACAAGTTTTTTTAAACAAGGTATTTTCAAACTACTCAGAATCAAGTCCCTGCCAAGATCTATCAAATAATAAAAACTAGTAAAATGTATTGATGAGAGGGCAAAACATATTAGGGTAATCAAAAGATATAAATATTTATATAAAAACCCCTCCAAGAAAGAAACCTTAATAATAAAAGGACGCTAAAGTGAAACAGTATAGTCTGATCAATTATTCTGTGAATTAAGTGTTCATTAAAATGCCTGTGTTCCTCTGATTTTTCAATGAATCCACAATACTATAGGAGCCATTGGTCTAGCTTAGTTCAGGGAGTTGCCACGACGTGACACTACCCAAAAGGCACACGCCTGTGCATGAAACACTGCTGTTCCTGTGGAGATGCAGTGGACACTTTGCCCTCTCCGATATCTCATCTGTCAGATCTGTTTCTGCAGAATATATAAGGCGCAGATAGGAGGGCCACCAGTGGAAGATGAAGACGAGGACAGTTGTTGGTGCTTGCACTTGCTCCGCTTTCACTGCTAATCACTTTTCTGCGCCAATTCCATAATAAACGCTTCAAAGGCAGAATTGGTAGCCCTTCTTACCGCGTTGCAATTTGTCATTCATCAACCTACACGCAAGTGGACTATTTTTTGCGACTCGAAGACGGCACTGCATTCTCTACTGTCAGCCTTACGCCGTGGACCGCACGAGCAGCTGGTACTAGAGATAGCAGAGGTTATACACCACCTGACTGAGAAAGGGTACCAAATTACATTTCAGTGGTTACCCAGTCACTGCGGAATCATCGGCAATGTACGGGCTATCAAGCTGCCCGCTCAGCCCACGCAGAAAACCATGAACTGCTACTACCACTTTCTAGGACAGATGCTGCATGAAAGCTCCCGCTGGCTTGCTCGCCAGCAAACCACATCACAATAGAATCAGCCGCACTTCAAGCATGCCCGACTGTACTTGCTTGACCCTACGTTAAGTCTTCAAGTCCCGTCGAGGCTTTGCTGAGCAGACCAGACCCTTTTATGTAGGCTGCGTTGGGCATTGCATTTAGCAACACCTATGCTTTCCGCATTGGGATGGCCAACACCACAGCCTGTGGCCACTGTGGCAAAGAAGAAACCACCCAACATATCCTTTGTGACTGCCTAGAGTATAGTAGACAACGACTATGCCTTCGCAAGGAACTCAGAGAATTAGATAATAAACCTCTGTTGGAGGAAAGAATTTTACAATACCACAAAATGCAACTTCACAGAAGAAGGCCCTGAAAGCACTACTGCGCTTTTTGCGATCCACTGGCCTTCCTGAACGGTTGTAGCCCGAACGCCCTTCCTGTGTGTGTTTTCGATTTCTCATGTGTGCACGTGCATTTTTTTTCCCCTCTCTATCTACCCCCTTTTTCTTGCTCCTATTTCCCCACCCCCCAGTGCTGGGTAGCAAACCGGTTGCCAATATCTGGTTAACCTCCCGGCCTTCGTTTTTCTCTATCTCTCTCTCAAAGGCTCAATGCTGAGCTTATACCACCACTTCGTGCAACTTCCTTTATGGCTCGAAGCAACATCACCACTCACAGAGCACTTGTGTGGCATATTTTAAAACGACCATATGCAGTAGCATTGCAGTGACGCATCTCCTTTGATAGCAAACATGGCGCCATGAACGGAGATGCGCCAGCTGGAAACACTACCTCTCTCAGAGAGCCAGTGTGACAACCAACATAGTGATCATGATGAGTACAAGACACCAACCAATGAATAATAACAAAGGAAGGCACCACATAAAGAGCATAAAGGCACCAAATAAAGAGCATAAAGAGTACTCTGCATCTGAGCACAAAGCAGGCACAAACACTAGTTGATGGGGAAGAATAGGAAAAGACAATAGGAGAGGATGGCGCTTGGTTGGATGGGTACATATTACTGACATTGAAAATATAGAGGAAATGTTGATCAATTTTGTGAGCATAGGGTTACTAGTAGAGCTATGTAAATAGCGAAACTCAGGGTGCAAAGCGAATTCAAATATTGACGTGTGCGTGCAACTCGAATTAAATATTTGAAGAATATTTTTCAAATACTTTGAAGCAAAACTGCAGATAAAAAGATGGAGAAGATTGCTGGGCATATTCTCATGAGATAGCGTCGTGAAAGTGTTTCTTTTTGCTGGGTTGATGAAGTGCTGGTAGGGTAGTGTTTTATTATTGTTTTATCAAGCATGAGGCAATGCAGAGGCCAAGTTGTATTTACGTACATGATTTGGTACAACCATAGTGTTGCTGGCAACACTTTACATGTGACAAGCAAAGATGATATTTTCTCAGCTTCTCCTCCTCTTTCAACTTCTGTGGAAGCCCAAGTGATGTGGAGGACAAGGGTGCACTCCTTTCTAAATCCGGAGTTCTAGATCTGCCTTATAGATATTAGTATGTAAGAAAATATGAAGCTTTTGATGGTAAAAATTTTCAACTTGTGTTTTTTCATACTTCCTAACCAAACTTCAGGTCCAAAACAGCATTAATTAAGCCCCCACTTCTGCCACATCTATCATCTCTATATTTCAACCAGCATTTTCTTGAATTATTACATTTGTGACTTTATGGAGCTTAGAAGACGGCTTTGCTGCAGCACGAGAGTGTAACAAGGTGAAGCATTTAAAAAAATTGAAGGGATCACTTTCAAATTGATATCCACAGTTTTTAAAAAGTTCGACTGTAGCAGAGCCTGAAAAAGAGCTGTGCTGCAATACGAGAAGGTGAACGATAGTTAAAATTTGAAGGGATCAGTTTCAATCACACAATGATTGTATTTGTCTTTTGGAAATTTGAATAGTCTCAAATAGTAAAATTCCAGTGCAAATTGAATAGCAAACAATATTAGAAAAATATTCAAAATGATGAATATTTTCACACACTTATTTAATAGTAAATGAGAAAACAAAAGACCTAGTCTCATTTTCCAGCTGTACAGCTGGCCACATCTTTAACCATCGTGCTCGAGCAGCGGCATTTCGGTGCGTAAGCGGCATATGACGAAGCCGAGTTGCAAAAAGCATGCTCAACTGGGTCCGACAGCGTGAGCAGGCAAATAGTTTTGGTCGCATTTTTTTTAAAATCAACATTGCAACCACAAATCGAGGAAATAACATTACAAGATATGCCCACGCCCACACTGATGAGATAAGCAGAATGTGGCTAATCTGCATTGCGCTGATAAAAATGAAGAGCCTGAAAGACGGCAGGCCAAGCCGACTGTGCTTTGTAGGCATGTGCTTATCTTCGCCCTGTTTGCAACTCCGCTTCGTCATACGGCGCTGACACACAGAGTCGCTGCTCACGCACCATAATGAAGGATTTGGTCGGCTGTACATCTATATACCCAAACATATGGCAAACGTGATATTATGAACTTAAGTTTAAAAAAAAAATTATAATTTGTTGGCTGAACGAAATTTCCTGAAACTTGAAATGTTAAATCTCTGGCTTGCTTGAAACACAATGCAATTTATTTTTACAACGAAAAATTTGGTAGACCCTGGCTAAGTCTACCAAGACCTTTGATGTCACGGTGAATTGGTGAGAAAACTTGAAGATGGCTTCGTAACTTCTATTTTGTTTTTGTACTGATTGACTTAATATAGTTTACAAAACATTTTTTTGTAGCATGAGTGATGTTCTTGGTATTGTTGAGTAATCCACTATACTCGGGGACAACTTTCTGTGGCAATGAAGGGAAAACTACGGTGGCAGAGCTACATATGTAATCCTCTGCGAATAAGTCTGGCTCGGCTCACTTTTCGAATACCGGCCGTGTTAAAATAATACTACTGCATAGAATTTGCTACGTCTGCTTACACAGCCATTGGTGAGTGAAATACAGCACAAGCTCCTTTGGGGAGTCCTCGGAATAGCTGGAGGATGACGAGCACTCACCTAAAACGAAGACGCGGTTCTGACTGTGAGGTGAACCTTAAACGTGCGACGTTTTCAGAAGGGCAAAAAAGGAAAATGACACTTCATGAAGCAAAATAAATATTAATATCTGCATGGCTCGAGTAGCATCTCTTTATAAACAGCATCCCATAGACAATAATGTAATGTCGTTTTTTATTATCTTCTTGTGGAAAACACAGACACATCATTTGTGGGACTATATTCTTCAACAGAGGCACATGCCCACTTTGGTTTGCTAGCCTCCCTTTTATTACCACAGATAGCTGTCCCCAAGTATAGCATGATCTTTTTTCACTTTGCTGTCTCTTTAAGGAGCCTCCTCATTGTATCCAATGCTTTAACTGTTATGCAGAAGCAGGAAGCACTGCTCATACACCATGCATAGCTCATGACAAACTTTTTATTATTTAACTTATTAAAACATAATTATCACATGACCTAATGAGTAACATTTGGCAGGGACGTCTCAGAACATTTGTACAAACCCACACAAGGTGAGTGAGATAAAAGTATTCATTGTGAAGTTTGGATACCAGATGAAGCAAATGTATAGCACACAGTTTTTATGCTTCTTCCTTCAAGAGCTCTTCAAAGCGATTTGACAGCAGTTCAAGAGAATCATCTTGCCGTTCAGTTGCATGAGTATCAGCCCTCTTACTCTTTTTTTTCCTTTTCTTTCCACCTGCAGCTGCTCCTGCACAGAAACTGTCTTCTGGCACAAGGTCTCGAATTTTCTTGTAGAAAAGAGAAAACTCAGTCTCAAGCACTGTTCCTCTTCCCATATACTCAGCAATAAAAAGGTCTGGATTTACTCGACTGTCCAGCTCTTTTGTCAAGTTGTAAAGAAAAGTGCCATTCAAAGTTTTGTGAAACTCAACATCCTTGCACGGCTCAAGCAACAGCCTGTTGAGAAACCTTGCAAACAAAAGGCAGGTCTGCAGTTGGCTAACCAAATACACCAATTCATAGTCAAAGCGCTTAGCATGGTTATGTACAGGACCAATGAAGAACTTTGAAAACTTTTGGCTTGCATAGTGTACGGTGTCATAACTCAAATGTTCTTCCACACCTGGTAGAATGTCATCTATGCCTTCACGGCTTCGAACTGCACAGCCATTCCTGAGAAATTTCAGCTTCTCTGAAGCCTTTCGAGACGATAGTTTTGTCTTCAAAAGAAGCCTCAATATCACAATGCTCACAAGCAATGAGCGAAAGAGGTTTTCATTAACTTTTAATCTGGAATTTTTAAGCCAGAAGCAGATAACTGCGAGGAGACCATGCACCGATTCTGGACACTGACCCTGTATGCTTTCAACACCAAATATAGAAAAAAATAAATTTTTACGACTCTGGTCTGTTAAAGTAGGAATTTCTTCTAACCTTGGAAGTGCCCCATAACCAGATGCACACAAGATAGGTTCAACAAACTGACGAGTGATGTTCTGTCCTTCTCTATCAAATTCTTCTACAGGTCTTAAATCCTCGGAATTCGAGTTCTCACTCAATACTAGGCCATAAAGAATTTTACGGAGGTTTTGTGAGCATGCATAACTGCTTTCCAACTCAAAACAATCAATCTGTGTCAAATGAAACACCTGGTGCACAGCAGCAATATTGATGAGATATGGGTTAAGGATCCCACTGAAGTACAGCTCTGAAAACCATTCTGGAAATGTGCTGCCTCCTTCATCTGTAAGAACCATTTTGGCTCCATCCTTCAACTTGTCAATAAACGATGACTTGCACACTTCATACCGAGCCACGGTGTCCAAAATTATTTTGGTAGTAGACTCGCGCCTTGCTCCTTTCAGTTTCTGCAATATCTGGGATAATGCGACATCATAACTTGTGTTGCTTAACCAGTAGAGGAGGCCAACCATCTTAGTGTGCTGCTTACTGATCTTCAGTTTCTTGCTTTTGAGCCGAGGAAGCTTGATGCTGTTGAAGAAGCCTTCAAACATTACACCATTAACAAAGTCATTTCCCATTAATGTAGCAAACAATGGAAGCATAGACTTATCAAAGCCAGGAAAATGACACAATAAGTTGTCTACATGGTACCACTTGCAGGGCAAAGAAGTCACCTTTTCACCATTCTCTGCAGTCACTATTTGTGGCGATGTACAGATAGAGTCAAGCCGAATAAAGCCGCCAACAAGGTTGAATATATAAAAGTCGCTATCCTGGCTGGCCACTGGACATCCATAGTAGTTAGCAATGGCAGCAATCTCTTCATCAGCCTCAAAGCTGCACTGAAAAACTTGGATGCCTAGTTCTCGCACAACATCCTTGAACACCTGCAGGTGAATGGAGAAAAATTTCGCTTGCAATCAAGGACAGGAATATGAATCCAACGGTAACAATCAATAATACTGCTGTACACATTCTAGAGGACTCGTAATCAAATTGCTCACAAATTCCTTAAATAAAAACCATCACAAGTGGGATATAGTGTTTTTTTTATTCATTCCCTTTTTGTGATGGTTTGAACATCTGATCCTAGACACAACCACATGTGCACCATGATAAGGGCAAAAAGAATGAAAAAATCAGATAATTGTTGCAATACAGTAAACTAAAATCTCTTTAATGAATTTCCTGCTTGGTTGGAACAGCTGCCTATAACATGACTGGTTTTATTCTTGAATTTGGCACTCCTCTTTATTTCTCCGTAAATCAAACTCCCGTTAAAAGGAACACACTTTCCTGGTCTCTTTAGGCTCCATTTAGTGAGTCTATCATAAATTACTGTAAATACAAAGCTATCTTCAAAGTCAGTCGCTACTTCCTCAGAAATGCATGGGCTGTAAAACACAAAATTGTGCTCTCGTGCCAAGACAGACAAAAATAAAAGGAAATAACTTTTACCCCAGGGCCTGTGGCACACTTGTCCGACAATTTTCAGTTTAATATTATAACTGAGGGTATAAGGACAAAAGTTTTTATGCACATGCACAAGAAAGGGCTCTTAGTTCATATCCTATCAAGATTTAAATTTGATATAGTTTACTTTAGGCTACTTCCACTGGCAGCTACTTTCAATGGATTTTGACATGAATTATGTGACATTTACAAAATGAGGGGCCATCGCTACGTCATCCCCTTTAAAACATAGCCACTTAAATCACTAGCAGTGCTCGAAAGTACAGTGTTTGAGATCTGCTTCTGATAGGTGAAACAACCATTTTTGGGGTGCCAAGTCATTGCATCATGAATCAGCATGGCTGGAATGCTATACCGATTAACAGCAAAAAAAGAAAGACAACTTTAAATACACATTTTCTGCTTCACTGAATGAACTCAAGAACATTTCAGCTTGCTTTCAGACACCATGGTTTCACATGCAGTGCATACTGCAAGGTCGACAACTGGGCTAGTAGGTACAGTTCCATGGATGATTGCAATTGCACAAACATGTCTAGTATTTGTCGCTCTCCACATTCCTTAAATTTTTGCAGGCATGATTCAAGCTTGAAAATGTGGCCCCACAACAATGTAATTATCTATAAAACAAAAAGGACAACTTTTCAGACTGATTTGTCTTTTTGATGTATACGTAGATATAGATGATATTGCCTACCTACTAAACGAATGGGTTCCAGACTTGTCAAGCTGCTCGAGGATAGAATTTATTCTACAATCTCCCTTCTGTACTTTGTAACCATACAATATGGCAAATAAATGATCTTATAGTCCTTACCTTGTTCCAAGAATGTTTTCTGTTAGTGTTTAATTACAAAATTCTATTAAGGCAAATGTCTGACATTTACTACGTTATTTCATTTTCACAGATTGAAACTATAGTCCTGATGGCTGGACAAGACAACTTACCTCGTGCGCTAGTATAGGAAGAATCTTTAAGTTGGGAGCCCCTGTCTTGGCAATGGCCTTGGCAGTAGCCAAGCGCTCCTGGAGGCGACGCTGGGTTGTCTTCAGCTTGCGGTTGGAAACATCATGTCCACCATCAAACACGAGGATCAGCTCTATGTTGCAACTCTTGAAAACAGCAAAATAATTGCGTATTGCTGTTGCATACCTGAGTGAAAAAATAAAAAAAAGCAAGAACAATTAGCAAAGCACATGTACATTTTGTACCTGAAAGGTTATGGTTAAGTAAGAATATAGTACAGCAAGACCACCTGCAGCCAGCAGATATGAAGCATGCTCAGTTATCAGTTCTCATAGAGCAGGTCTACATGGCTGCAGTAGTAAGCAAATTGTGCAAAAAAAGGTCTCACGGCATATTTTATCATCGCTGCAGACATTACAAAGAGCAGAACCTCAACAGCATAATCTCCACACAGGTGCACAAATAAAAGAACACAATGAAACAAATAAAAAGGAAGAGGTCTGAATAAGCGAAAACCGCAAGGTGACTTCATATTTATTATAAGAATATGGACAGAAAATTTTAGTTTCATATGAGAAACCACCAAATATGCATTTGTGTCACTGTGGTTACTCCACAAGAAAGGTTGAAGTGCAACAGCACTCCTACCCTACCCTTCAGCCAGGCCCGCAGCCGGAATATTTTTCATGGGGGGCTCACTTGTTGAAAGCTACAAAAAACTGATGTTTACTATCTATCCTCTGCAAAACACCGTGTTCTATTTGAATTTCTGGTGGGGGGAGGGGGGGGGGTCTAGGGCACTTTCTGTAGCTATGAGCCTGCCTTCAGCTATTCCCAGCAATGGTAGCCACAATTAGGTGAAGGTTAATGCAGGAATACTTGTGTACTTTAATTTGAATGCACCTTAAAGAATCCAGGTGTTCAAAATTAAACCAGCGTCTACGCCACTATGATGCGCTCGATCATATTGCAGTTAAGACAAGTAAAACATCAGAATTCAATTCAATTTTCCTGTTTTTAAAGATGGCAACACTGTATCTGGCATGCCGTCCAGACGAAGTGATAGGCGTTAAAGCGCTCCCTTTTAGGAGAAATTGCTGTGGAGAAAGTTTTGTATAAAGCAATGGCCCCTGCAATGCACGCACAGACGCACACACACACACACGCACACACACACACACACGTGAAGCATTGTACAAAAGATTGTAACAACGGCAAGCATATACAGATCACACTGACGAGCCCGTTCTTTGGGAGCACGCTACAAGAACTTTCTTTATATACCTTCGGATGAAAGAGTGCCACAAACTCAGTGAACTGGAGAAAACAGTACATCAATATGGTGCAATGATCAAACATCTGCTGGTGGATGACGAGCACTTCGGTCTGCGTAAGAAAGGTTCTCTATATGTCCACTCCGGCACAAAGCATTCGTAAGAACCAACAAACAATTCTTTGCAGGAGAACAATGCAAAAAAGTAAGGCGACCACACTATAGAAAACGCTAAACAAATCATTTCGATTCCGTCTGAACAAAATTTTACCCATAGCAGTTCGTACCGCCTGGGCGGAACGCTAGACATTTCAAGCGAAAAATCGCAGCTGCTGCCTCTCACCCGTCATAGTCACCCCCGTAGACGCACTCGAGGTTTGATGTGAAGTAGATCATATAGATTAGATTGTTTCCATCAACCACTAACTTCGTGGAATGCAAATCCTTCCATTCCGACAGGTCGGGATTAAGCGTGAAAAAGGAACTGAGGCCGCGGACCCCCATCAGTACTTATTAAAAGCAGTCAACTGCTGTAGTTTCGAACGCTATCACTTGGCTTTGGTCATTTGATCACCTTGCCATGTTGCGCGCATTAACACACGGCCATAGAATCTCATCTGTCCTTGCACTGAGACCACGGCTCAAACAACATGAGAACTTGATTAGGCCCCCCAAAAAATAGAAACAAGCGCCTTCCGATGTCCTGTCATGCTTCCATGCTCCCCAGTGCTGCCAACCTGCACAGCCACTTTTTCCCTCTCTAGAGGGAAAAAATTCCCTAGATTTCTCTAGATTATCATGGAGAGCGGATATTTGAAGACTAATTGTGGAAAACGATTTCACAGTTCACTTTTTATGATATAATAGTGCATTCGTTTGAAAAGATTCACTACAATCGCCGTGCTGAAGGTGAAAAATTCTCGCAGTACAAGTTGAAAAGCTTTACACAACATTTTATTTCATCAAATCACAAAGCTAAGCGGTCATCACATTTGGGGGGAGGGGGAAGGGTGTAGTATCGCAGTATTTTATACAAATCACCAAGAAAGAAGCATTACATAGGCTGAAGAAGGAATAAATTATAAAAAATATTTATGTTTAGGAACACTGCTAGTTGTTCAATGCAAAACACGGAAAACTTAGAATACGATACAGTGCACTTTTAATAGCATGCAAGTTAAAATAATAATAATAATAATAATAATAATAATAATAATAATAATAATAATAATAATAATAATAACCAGAACAAGCATATAAAGCGCAGTACGTCAAGTATTCCTGCGAGCAAGCTTTAAAACATTCATCAATTTTGTTATTTTGCAACTCTCCTGGAGGAAATGCTTGGTGGTGTTCATATAAGACATGAAATGATGTATGCTTACATAACTTATGAACATGTCCTGAAAAATGTACTCTCAAGCTTTGTCATGATACCTGATACAGGATATAGTGACGAAAAATAGTTTAACCATGAAAGCATACAGTTTAACCATGAAAGCATATTAGCTGCCAGTTGGCTGTTCATCCCTCGCAACCTGCTGAATGGGTACGAAAATATGCGTTTATTACAGATTTTGATCATTTCAAATATATCTTGTAGTCTTCCACCAGCGCCCTGCCGCAGTGGTCTAGAGGCTAAGGTACTCGGCTTCTGACCCACAGGTCGCGGGATCGAATCCCGGCTGCGGCGGCTGCATTTCCGATGGAGGCGGAAATGTTGTAGGCCCGTGTGCTCAGATTTGGGTGCACGTTAAAGAACCCCAGGTGGTAAAAATTTCAGGAGTCCTCCACTACGGCGTCTCTCATAATCATATGGTGTTTTTGGGACGTTGAACCCCACAAATCAATCAATCAATCATTCTCCCAACAGCCATGTTTTTTTTTCAATATTTTTTTAGGTTTGCAAATAACCGCATATACATGCAGCCTACTGCTCTGGCGGCGCTTTTCGCAGAAACCGACCTTGGGGGAGCCACATGGCTTCACGGTGCAGCTGCTCAGTAACGTGACAGCGTTCGCAAATAAGAGAAACCGATAAAGAACAACAAGCCAAGGAAATAACGCCACGGGTGAAAGGCGAGAAAATGGGTGGTTAGTGTAAAGGAAAACATACTTGGTGGGATCGAGAGAGAGCCCTTTTAGGGGTGAAGCTCCTTATGGCGTCACCAGTTCGTCTCGTTATCGTTTGTAACCACTGGTGGCACATACCCAAGAGCGCGGGTATGTGCCACAAGGAATAGACTTCTATAGGGGCGAAGCTTCTTAAGCTGTGGGTCGTGCGTCTTCGATGTATGTAGTAGGTAGCCACCTCTCGTTTAGTTATGGAATGTTCACTAGTTAACGGTACTTGTATAAAATCAATATATGATGAAAAGATGCGAGATGGTGGTACTTGGAGTGTTCACTAGACGGACGGATGTACAGGCGGACAGACAGATCGGCCCACTGTTGGACGGATGGATGCACGAATGGACGGACGGACGCTTCGCCCCAATCCTCATCATTCAGTCCGCGCATATGCTGTAATTTTTTTCTTTGGTTTGAACCGGGATTCAGGCAATCGAACACGGACGTCACAGAATGAACCGCACTGATGTGCGGGAGGGAGAGCGCTGGCACAGCATTGGGGCCGCAGACCGGCCCTGTCGCCCCTTGGCACCCCTCGGAACCCCTACTGCACATGGCACAGCGCTTTCGGGTGAGTGTAGAGAAAAAAGTGGAAGAAGGAACAAAAAATTGCCCGCAGCTTCCCTCGGGGGAACACTGAGGAGGATGCGGAGCATATAATTGGTTAAAGGGGTGTTAAAGTGTGACTTACTTGGGTCGATGGCTAAATTGGTTAACGTGGTTGTGAAATGGGGTGTTAAATTGCGACTTACTTGGGTCGCTGGCTAAATTGGTTAACGTGGTTGTAGGAGGGGTGTTAAATGAGTGAACACGTACGACACGTATGCGAAAGGGCGGTGTTTATTTATTGCGACGAACTTTGAGCGGTTCCGCCAACACTTTGGCCGGCGCTGGTCGAAGGGACGTCGATCATTGCGACCTCGGACGTCGACGCGCCGTACAAACCAACCGACGAGCGGCAACTGAGCGAGCGAGCACCGACCTTGAGTATATATACAGCGCGACGGCGCATGCACTGTCAGCTGTCGAATGTTCGAGAAGGGAGACAAGCGCAACGGCGCATGCGCGCGCGTCAGCTGCCGATGTTCTCGAAGCGCGACGGCGCATGCGCGCGCGTCAGCTGCCGATGTTTTCGAAGCGTGACGGCGCATGCGCGCTACATTATACAGCTAGCCAATGTTCGTGAAGAGGAGAAGCGCACGCGGTGTGTAGAGGAGGAAGGGTGCACAGATGGTGGAGGAGTGAAGCGCGCGCGGTGTGTAGAGGAGGAAGGGATGCACAGATGGTGGAAGAAGGAGGAGGAAGCTTGCGGACGGCGCCGCACTACAAGCCTCGAGTATTAGATGCTCCGCATCTAAAACGAGGTTGTAGGCGGGAGGTCCCGTCGTTGATTTGCTTGCTTCACGTGGAAGCGAGAAATTTCCTTAGATGTTGACAAATTTCCCTTTTCCCCTAAGTACAACCAAAATGCCCTAGAGCGAGGGAAATTTTGCTAGAGTTGGCATCACCTACGGAGGCACCACCGATGTCAGAGCCTTTCAATGATTGTCTTTCAAAGTCATGGAGGAAGGCAAACTTCCTCCATGTTCAAGCTGATGGTTTCCGTACTTGCTGATGGTTTCGTAAATAGTGAGGTTGAGGACTGGTACTTTGCAGTGAAGGGTTTAATTTTCACTCATGTCTTGACTTTAGCCGCCAATCAGATAACCTCGTTCTAGTTAATTCTAACCACTTAATGTCTATTTTGCCCTCCCGGTCCCTAAACCCCAGTGCTTTGAAAAACTCGGCGCCATCATCCTGAACTATAGGGGGAAGCCCTTTACAGAACATTATCTAGTGTTCGGCAGTTTCCTCCTCCTCTCCACATGCACTGCATACCATGTCTACCCCTTCGTATTTGGCCCGATATGTCTTGATTCGCAATACTCCCGTCCTCGCCTCAAACTGGGAACTACGCCGAGTATTATCATAGATTATTTCCTTGGTAATTTCCTGCTTAAAAGTTCGATAGATATCTCTAGTGCGGACTTTTTAATCATGCCGATTCTCCACATACCGGTCTCAGCTTCCTTCACCTTCTTCTTAACCGATCATTCTTTTTGGTTTGGCCCCCTGCTGTTTTCCAAGTATTTACCCGTCAATTTTCTGATTCGCTTCCTCCATTTTGTATCGACATTCTTACCGCACAAGTAGCCGAAAACCTTCATAGCCCAACGCTCCTCCGCAATTTCTCTCAATCGCTTTTCAGATTTTATTTTGCTGCTAGGTTCCCTGCCCTCAAATGATGTCCATCCCTTATCCCCTTGTACTCCCTGATTTGGTATATTCCCGTGAGCTCCTAGGGCAAGCCTACCTATTCCACGTTGCTAAATTTCTAATCTTGCTTGAACCTCTGATCTCATGCACAAGACCGCATTGCCGAACGTCAGACCAGGAACCATGACCCCTTTCCATATTCCTCTCACAACATGATACCAATTGTAATTCCACAGTGCCCTATCTTTCATCCCTGCTGCATTCCTGTTACCTTTAGTCGTCACGTATATTTCGTGTTCCCTTGGGTACTCGGTCCCATTGCTTATCCATACGCCCAGATATTTGTATTTATCTGTTATCTCTAGTGTGACCTCCTGTATTTTAAGCTCTCTACCTCTATATATTATTATCATTGAAATCATGACTGCTGATTTTTCATTACTGAATCTGAAATCTAACCTATCTCCCTGATTACTGCAGATGTTCATATCTCTGTAAATCTTCCTTGTTTTCAGGCATTAGCACTATATCATCTGCGTACATCAATGCTGGTAGTGTCTGTTCAATGAGTTTTCCTTGTTTGACGAAAGAGAGGTTGAAGCCAAGTCCACTTCTCTCGAATTTGGCCTCTAATCCTTGTAGGTACATCATGAATAACAAGGGTGACAGAGGACACCCCTGCCTAAGCCCCGTGTTACCTCTGTGTGCTTGGATACCTGCTTTTCCCACTTTATAACTACCTTGTTACCTTTATAGATATCCTTTAAAAGATTAGTGACTCCATCTTTCACACCTAGTGTGTCCAGTATTCCCCACAAGTCCTCTTGAACCACGCTATTGCACGCTCCCTTGATATCCGAAAATGCTAGCCACAAGAGCTTGTGTTATTTTTCTGCTATTTAGATGCACTGCGTCAGTAAGAACAGATCGTCTTCCAACCTCCTGCGTTTCCGAAACCCATTCTGCAGTTCTCCCAGCACCACCTCATCCTCTATTCATGCCTGCAGTATTGCCTTTATAATCTGCATCGCCAGCCTGTAAACCTCTGATGTCACTATTATAGGACGGTACTTGCTTATGTCAGCCTTGTCCCCCTTTCCTTTAAAGATCATGCTCATCCTGCAAAGTTTCCATCCATCGGGGATTTCAACATCGATTATTGTTCTGCTCACTGCCTGTCTCAAAGTCTGTTTAGACTTCGGACCCAATGTCTTTATCAGCATAATTGGAATGCTATCTGGGCCTGTTAATGTACAACTAGGAAACCTCTTCTCAGCCCTTTCCCACTCTCGATGTGAAAATGGAGCCATTGCGCCACTTGACTCATCCTTGTCTATTGT